GACATCATCGATATGATCCATTGTGAAGGTATTTCACAATTTAGTTACATGAGATAGTATATCGATATCGGTTTTCCCACTAAGGATAGTATGGGGAGTTGATATAACATTTTTAAAGATGTATGATGTAGTATTTCATGTATTATCTTTCTTATTTTTATTAATTCTTAGTTTTGGAGTTAATATTTAGCGATTCATAATTTGAGACATATGGTATATACATGAGGGTTTCCTTGCTTGGATTATTTTGCTCGATGTACCAATCTCGTGTTGTGAGTTTCTAAGTATTAACCCAAATTTAGTACAAGGTAAATGAACTAGGTAGACTATACACTTATAGGTAGAGACTCAATCATACCTAGTAGCCCTTCCCCTGGGGGAGGATGGAGATGATCTTGTTAGCGCTCTGACGCTGCAGTTTTTACTTATTTTCAGGCAGCGGAGCAGAGTTTCGGAGAGCCGCAGATTGACGGATTTTCAGCATAATCGCCGTCATATATGTTTAGTAGTTCTGCTCCATAGATGTTTAGTTTATATTTCTAGTTGATGTTTAGATTTGCATTACATTTTGAGAGCTGAGAGAGCTTGTGTACTTTTCAGTTGACTCTTGTAGTTCAGATTTTGGATCATTTATTTCAGATTGTTGGACATAATTTTTATATCTGATGAGACTTGATTATTTAGAGATTTATCAAATATTTTTGTTTTTAATTTCTTGTCTTCACCTCTTTTATATATGCTTATACATGTACTGTCTTATTTGACTCCACTAGAGGGATATTTCTGTGATGGTGAAACATGTCATTGCACAGTATATGCGCATGGCAGGTTTGACATCATTGGTTTCACCTTGGATTGCAGTTTTGTGTGAAGCCGGGGGTGTCACATTACAAAACTAGATTAGCAATAATACAAAGCGAGGATCTTTGACTCTAGGCGATTAAGACACAAATCAAAGAGCACCAAGCTCTGATACCAAATGAAATTACCCTAGGAGGATGAATATGGTATTTGCTAATTTAATCCGATTTAATACCAAATTAAAACTTATAAAGAATATCCTAGCAAGTATGATATACACAAGTGATATATGCAAGGATAAATAGTCAATAGGCGATATAAACATACAAACACAAGATAAAAGGAAATTATGCGCCAATGACAAACTCAAACGCAAACAAATGATCATGGTGTTTGGTCACCCTCGACCTACATCTCCGATCCTCACTCTCGAGGAGAATCTCCACTATCTCAACCGGTTTTCAACGTTCACTGAAAAACGTTTACAACTCTCAAAGACTTATGTTGGCAACAAGTCTGCAACTGATTTGCTGAAGAATCTACTCACTCATGGAATGAGGAAATGGATCCATACTCATTACCACTTTCTCACGATACAATGTTGGGAACAAGATGTGTTAGTTTATTGCAAGTTTGAAGATCAAGTTGTGGACATTCTCACGAAACCCTTAAAGTTTGAAGCGTTTATCAAGTTGAAATAGACGATGGGAATGATAACTTTGCAAAATTAGGACTAAGAGTGGATGTTGAAAGTTAATCCTAACTATAATGGGTTTTGATTTTAATTATCTTTAGAAGTGCAAGTTTTTAGCAGTTCGTTTAGATGCTCTTATCTTAGTTGAATTAGGAGTTATGTTTTAATTATCTCTAATTTATATTTGTTATCTTTGAGAGCTTTGTGTTAAATTGAAAGCTGTGTACAAACCTATATAGTAGCCCTCCTGTAACCATGACCCGTGGCAAGAAAAAAGGCAGGCCGAGAGTGATAAAGTCTTTTTTTTGGTCTTTCTTCTCCTTTTCCCATAAAATAACACTACAGACACACCCTTCCACCACAACTTGGGGCACACCCCTCTCACAGCTACAGTGCACGTGATCCACTTTAGATTTTTTAAAAAATCTAAAGTGGGCCCCGTGCACTGTAGCTGTGAGAGGGGTGTGCCCCAAGGTGTGGTGGAAGGGTGTGCCTGTAGTACCATTTTATGGGAAAAGGAGAAGAACTATTTCCTATTTGTTTCAACATAAATAAATCCAATATGTTTTCATATATTAATTTAATGATAAAAAATTCAAAACTCATAGATACGGATCAGATACAAATTATATGTTCATTCATTTAAGTGCTGAAAATGTAGTGTTTTTAAGCATTTTCCTTTAAATTCACTACACATAGCTAATCTTAGTTTTTTGATATAATTAATGAACAAATTAATGGCTCTCATATCGTAAGGATTATATATTTTTCATTATTATATAATTTTCTTATATTTATTTTTTATCTGTATGTATATCAGAGATATCTATAAGTATAATTGTAATTGCATTCAATTTTAGAAGATATAAATAACTAAACAAACGAATATTAATACGATAAGTATCACATCTAGAGCGTATTCGGACCGCTTGCGTCCGAGGCCTCAACGGCATCAATAACGGACATTAAGATCAACATGAAACAATAAAGACCCCTTTGTAGGGGTGGGTGTGGGCCGAGCTGGTTCAGGCCCGTGACCCGGCCCGTCGGGTTCAAGGCCAGGCCGGGCCTGTCCGGGTCAGAGTAGATCAGACCTATTTCTATGATCCCGGGTCTGGGATTGGACCCGATCCGACCCACGACCCGCCTACGGTCTACTGGTCATGGGTTAGCCCATGGGTTTTTTAGTTTTTTCTATTTTTTTTGTTTTTAATTTCTAAACTATATTAACTTTGTATTAGTATCTATTAGATTATATTTAAATTTTTCCCCCTATTTTACTCTTTATTTAAAATAATATATATACACACATTGTACAAATATGAACATCACACAGAAAAATATCACAAATACAAATATATATTTATATATATATGGTTCGGATTTCGAAGGAAGACCTACGTTCACAGAATGTTAATAATTTTTCTTCAGTTTAAATTTAAATTACAAATACAAGAGGAAAAAGAAAAAATATTAACTTAAAACTAAAAATAATAATTAAAATTAGGGGTCGTGTCGGGCTAGGCTGAATCGAGTCGATAGTGGGCTGGACGTATTTCTCTAGTCCTGGGTCTGGATCTGGACTCAACCTGGCCTATGATCCGCGTAGATCACGAGCCGAATCGGGCCTGTCCCACTATGTGTCGGACTGGGTCATGACCCATGACGCCCATAAGTCAACCCGTCCCACGACCAACCCTACCCTTCCACGCCAAAATAAAGCCTAGTGTGTACGGGGGGGCTCAGAGGATTCAAAGCAATCTGACCCAATTTGACTCAACAGTCCCACATTTTAGTTCCACGTCACCCCGTTCCTTAAATTTGTCAAGCTCAAAAGCTTGTCTTTCCCTTTCCCAATTCCTCGTCTCTTTAATATGTACCCTTTCACATGCAGACACGCGCCGTTCCGACAAAAGAAATCGCACCCATCCCCCTCAATTACCCAAAAAAATCTGCATTGGATAGTTGGGGCTGTTTGGTAGGAAAATGATTTAAGGCTTGGTAGGAAAATGATTTAAGGACTCAAAATATGGAACCAATGGAGGGGACAGATGAGGTGTCTCTTCCCTATTGCATAATGAGTTGGCATTGCCAACTCATTATGTAATAGGAAGGGGACACCTCACCTGTCCCCTCACTTGGTCCCATATTTTGGGTCCCCGTAGCAGCACTCTTCTTTGTTTGTTTTTGATTTCATTAGAATAATTAATTGCTTGTTTTGTTTGCAAATGTAACTTTAATTGTTTGTTTGGAAAGTGTAAAATGTGGTCCCTACTCTAATGATCATATTTGTTAGAATTATTTATTATTATTATTTCCTGACTTCAATGTCAGCTTTCTCCTAAAATCATATCTTTTTTTTATGAAATCACTTTACAAGGCACATCAGCATATGAAATCACTTTACACTATTTTCACAATTACAAACAAACAATTAAAAGTGATGAAAGCTGACATTATGTCCCACTTTTTTACACTTTCCATCCTTTTACATGGTAAAAACATACAACCAAACAACCCCAAACTTGCAGTTACGTAATTAAAAAAAGAAAAAAGAAAAAAAAATATTCGTATCGCAGAATATATCTACGTGTGTATTAATTAAAATACAAATCAGGTTATTAAATTTCCATATTAGAAAGAATATGATTATGAGTAGCGGTATTTAGTGAAAAATCAGCAAGATATCAAAATACATGTTGGAGATAGATTTACATTTATTTAATTTCTAGATTAGTAGATTTGAGATTAATTTTAATGATCAAGAGATCTAGTCTTTAACTTTTTCCACGTAGAACAAACATTCTTCTGTATCATATAAACCATAGCTTTTTTAATGTTATATAATTTTCTCATATCCATTTGATATTCACATCCAATTTTAACGGATACGGATATGAATTTTTATTACCGAGGCACATTCGTATACAGTATAGATAAGCAGGTACATATATGACAAGTATCATAAGAAGAGAGAGAGAAAAAAAGTAAACTGATACAATAATGAAAAGCTATTGTCGAATTTTAATAAGATTAATATAAAAGATAGTAATTCATAGAAAAATGATACATGCACACCCTCGGGTACGCCTCCGACCATACCCCCTCTAGCTACAGTGCATGGGCCCCACTTGAGATTTTTTAAAAAATCTCAAGTGGGGCCCCATGCACTGTAGCTAGGGGTGTAGCCGAGGCGTGACCGAAGGTGTGCCTGTAGCACCTCTCTAATTCATATAACGTATGATAGCAGAAAAGCATAATTAATAGCAAAAATTTGATATTATTATTATTATTAAAAATATGAACACCGAAAACAACAATCCCCCGTGACATTTAACACAGCCGGTGGCAATTGCTTTAGCACACACAAGATAACATTAATAAGTGGATGGACCATAATCAGACAAAAAAACCAAAGTTTGACAAGACCCTCATCAATGCTCCCCTAACCGCCTACCCCACGGCCTCATTAAAGCCCGCACCCATCTCCCCCGCCCCACGGAAGCCTCTCCCCCCCAACAAATGTCAAAGCCTCTGCAGCTCCTCATCATCCTCCTCCTATCCGCGCGTGCGACCGCGGACGTCGCCAGCGACCAGGCCGAGTGCACGAACAAGCTTGGTGGGCCTCGCCACGTGCTGCCGTACGTGCAGGGGGAGCCAGGGCCCCGACGCCGGACTGCTGCACTGGGCTGAGGGAGGTGCTGGGAAAGAGCCCAAAGTGCCTGTGCGTGCTCGTCAAGGACCGGGACGACCCGAAGCTCGGCCTCAAGATCAACGTGTCGCTGGCGCTGGGGCTGCCGGGTGCTTGTAGGACCCCCGCTAAGATCTCCGAGTGTCCGAGTAAGCAATTTTTTTGGATCGGTTCTCTTTTAAGATCGAGTTATGCATGCCTCCTAACTGATTTAAAAAAAAAAAAAAACTCTTGTGAACTTAAGCGGAGCTGGGTGCTCGATCAGTATATCAATCTTTTTTATTTCTTAAAACTAGTTTCAGTGGTTACAAGCATAGTTCGAAACTAGTTTTTCGGTTAGGTAAAACTTTGGATCAAATTTGAATTTTTATTATTATTATAAAAAAAAAGCTCGAAACTCCTACTTAAATCAACTCTAGTTTAGTTAAGGAGGTGTTTGTTTCAAATCATATAATTTTAGGATATAGATTTCAATTTCATTTGAAATCCATAGGTGTTTTGTTATGAGTTGGGTTTCTAAAATGTTGTTTGTTTCATTAATATTTTGGGATTTAGAATACTATAATTTATAATATTTTGTTTGTTTCATGTTCAAATTGTAGCATTACCAAATGTTAAAATTTTGTAATATGATGAATATGCTATCTTGGTGAGGTTACCTCCCGTTAAAAGACAAAATTGAGATTTGCCAAATCCTCTCCAGTTGAGAGGTAAGTACACCCATTTATGGGATTTGTCAAAATCCTCTCCAATCGAGAGAATTTGTCAAACTCTAAAAATTGGGTACTTTTTGCACTTTTGGAATTCAATATTCTAATTTTTTTTTTAAAACAAACACAATATATGGAATCCCAAAATATAAAAAAAACTCAATTTTTGATCCTAAAACTTGTAATCCATACCAAATGTCAAAGTTTTTGGTGAAACAAACACCCCCTAAGCAAAAATCCCGCAGAATGAATCTTATTTTAGAATTGTCGAACGCATCCTTAGATTTGTTTTGATGCTTGTGTTGATGCGTAATTCACATCAAGGCATGCAATCTGAAAACATGTCAAGACAACCTTGATGCGTATCACGAAGGAACACACACACCAAATTAAGCAAAATCTTAAGGAATAAAAATGTTGGTAGGCATGCAAAAAGACCTATGTCAAGTTAAATTTACAAGAGTTGTAAAGCGATGTATACAAACTAATTAAACTTGCATTTGTCGCGCACGTTGACCGTTCATTTTTATCAATTAAACTTGACACGCAAAGTGATGAGAATCAACTCTTTAAATTTGACCAGCTAGTGGGAACATCTCACTCTTGATAACTTGTTTGCTAAAATTAACTTTCCATATGAAGAGTGATGAGATTCACTCTTTAGGTAAGAGTAATAATGGGAGTATCTCCTTTCTTGATATATAACTCGTTTGCTAAAATGAATCTTCAATTTATTCATAATAATTCTATTTTTAATGTAAAGCATGTGAATACTAGATTCGAAAGAGCCATAAAAACCTAAATATTTATAGACACACGTGATCGATGATGCCAAAATCCAGAGTGTTTATTTCCTTCATTCTAAATGTTGTTGTTGTTGTTGCACATGGGATCGACGATGAAGGACATAAACTGTAAAGTTTGTAACAATTGTGTTAGACCATCGCCGAAGTATTAC